AATACTGTAGTATAGATAAAAGTTATGTAGTGAAATAGTAATTCAGTTAAGAAAATGAATTTTAACACCACAAAGAAGTTGAAAAGCAGTCTCACAGTTACTGGTTCCTGTGTGTGCTGAACTGGTTTCTCTTCAGTGGTCATCTCTGAGGCTTCATCCGCAGCCCTGCAAACACAAACACAACTATCTCAGCACGGACGGCTGGAAAACCGCTGCTTCTTCACTTTTCAGATATCTCACGAGCCAAAGTGAAATAACTGTAGAAGCCTGAGCCATAGACGGTTAATCATATCAACTGTAACAGTGAGCGGTATAGACACCTTACATGTGAAAGCAGAACACAGAGCGTCCAGCTGCTGTGTCAGAGATACTCACTGCTCTGAGACCAGCTCAGGCTGCTGTGAAGCTGCTGCCTCTGAGGCGCAGGAGCTGCTGCTTTTTAATTCACTCTGTGAGGAAAAAATCAGAAAGAAAAAAAGAAAAACAGAACACTGTTCATTCATCGCTTCATGTTCATTCATGTACTTTAAGTACATAATGTGACCATCGAGATAATCTGCTTCATTCTTATAAAGAATGAATGCACTGACCGACACAACAACATGAACGAGCCTGATAGACCACAGAGGACGACTAAAGCGATCCATGGTTGAGACAAACAACAACATCTAAACATAAAGAACATCTTTGAGGAGGTTGGTGTGTAACTGCCAAACTACAGCCAAGGTGCAAACCAAAGGCTACAGTAAAGAACAAGAAGGTCGGATTGCACGTTAACAGACAACATCACAGTTACAGACACTGTGTCTCTGTCCAGCAGATTATCCACATATGGTCAGTATGGCTGGAGTTTTACAGTGAACAGAGCCTCAGTTGCTCTGACGGCCATGAGCCCAGGTGAGCAGTGTGTGTGTGTAATACAGAGGGACCTGGTTGCCTCGGTGTTACTGTTAGCTGGAGGAAGACTTGCCATGGTAGAGGCTGGAGGAGGAAGAAGAGGGAAGTTCAACATTGTGAGCTCAAAATGGGGAGACGGCTGACGAGGAGGGGACTGACTCTGTGAATTCTACACAAACAGAAATGGTCAGTGCGCTTTCTGAACAAAGTGCACATGCACAACGCTCAGTGGTGACTTACCTGACTGCTTCGAGCGGGTCGCTCCCAGGACCTTGCGGTCGCTCTCCTCCTCTGGTTGAAGTTTCCTCTCCTTCAGGGACACACAGGAAACACAGAACATCTGATTTATAACTTTATTAAAGAACAAGCGTCCTACAAGTTTAAAAAAAAGTGACAGACAGGTGTCTGCCGCTGAGAACCTGATGACGTTTAAATCGAGTCTTTTTAGCCTACTGTGGCTGTAACTCGTCTTTGCTGCTCTAATTTTTATTGCTTGCAGTTTGTTATCTTTGAAGCTACTGTTGTCAAACCTCCACCCTTCCAGGTCAGGTTCATGCCATACGCATAATTCTTGGCTTAATTTGGATTTTAATTCCCCTGTTACTGTTCTGAAAAGAGGAGACGATAAACACACACTTGCTGAATGTGTGTGCGATTGTGTCTGCTCAAAACGAGCTGATTATGGCAGAGACGTTATAAGAGAGACAGGGCACTGAAAGAGAGAACTTCTTAGGTTTCTCTTGTGTTTTCTAAGCCCTTCAAAGTACATTTTCCAAAGGTTAAGAGCTGGTTTATTAATATCATACAGAGAATACACATCTATTTGTTTGCTGTTTTTTCTATCTGTTAAACACAACTTTTCGTGTACGGTGTCTCGACCCTATTGT